AGCAAAACCTTCTGCCTGCTCACTCCTTGGAGGAGGGATGAGAGAGCTGGCCTGGGGTGTAGCTGCAGCAGGGCTCTTTATTTAGCTTGGTTATACTTACACATACACGTGGGCCATGCAAAGTTGGCTGAGCCAACCTTGACCAGCAGCAAAACAAACAGGTTTTACTGCCATGACCTGAAGGCCAGATCAGCCACTGAGCTTCACTGGAGCAGGGACAGCTTTCATTTCTGTCAAGAAGAGGAGGCTCTCATGTAGGGCTGACTCAAAACAAACATTGTGCTTTTTTGTTGGGTTGCTCAGTCTTCCTTATGGAAGCAGGGTTAAGAAGGTTTATGCAAGACAAAGGTGATTTGAGGTAGCCAGCATGGCTTCACTGAGGGCAAATCATGCCTGACCAATCTGCTGGCCTTCTATGATGGAGTGACTGTAATGTTTGGCAAGGGAAGACATTGATGTAATTTACCTAGACTTCTGTAAGACCTTTGACATGATTTCATATGATATCCTCATCTCCAAATTGGAGAGAAATTAATTGGAAGGGTTCAGTGGATAAGGATCTGGATGGATGGACACATCCAGAGAGTTGTGGTCATGGGCTGTGTGAGTCAGTGGTGTCTCTGTGGGACTGGTGCTCTTTAATACCTGTGTCAGTGGCATAGTAAGATCAAGTGGCACACAGCTGAGTGGTGCTGTTGGCACAACAGAGGGAAGGGGTGGCATCCAGGGAGACCTGGACAAGCTTGAGAGGTGGGCCTACAAGAATTCTGCAAAGTTCAGCAAGGCCAAGTGCAAGATGCTGCACCTGGTTTGGGGCAGCCCCAGATATGAGAACAGCCTGGGAGAACTCATTGAGAGCAGCCCTGTGGAGAATGTCTTGGGGTCTCTCCAAATGAAAAACTGGACCAATGCAGCAATGTGTGCCCATAGCCCAGAAAGCCAAACATGTTCTGGCCTGCATCCAAAGCAGCATGGGTAGCAGGTCAAGGGAGGGGATTCTGCCCCTCAACTCCACTCTGCTGAGACTCTACCCACAGTGCTGCATCCATCTCTGGGGTTCTCAGCACAGGAAGGACATGGAACTCTTGGAGCAGGTACAAAAGAGGCCACAAATATGATCAGAGGGTTGCAGCATCTCTCCAATGAAAACTGGCTGAAAGAGTTGTTCAGCTTGGAGGTTCTGAAGAGACATCATTGCGGTCTTCCAGTACTGATAAGGTTCTGTCAAGGTCTCTCCAACATCTATAAACATAGTTGAGGGAGATCCTAACTTTTGAGATTTAAGATTATCTTAACAAGTGAATTGTATGTCCCATAGCAGCAATTCTTGCCCAGCATTTAATAGCTCCTTTCCTCTAAGCAGACACACCTGCTCTACCTCACTGGCCCTGAGCCACCATGAAACCAGACATTGCGGGCCCTGAGGGTTTACAAATATCCACTGGGATATTACAGTGCAGATCCAGACCTTTGGGGCTTGGGGTGTCTTTCTCCTGTGTTCAGCAGTCGCTGCTGCTGCTGCTGCTGCTGCTGTTGTGGCACTGGTTGAGCAGAGGCATCAGCAGCCCTGCAAGATGGGAGGGCTGGGTAGAGCCCATTTGCTCAATCTGGTCTCACAGTGGAAGATGGAAATAGAGAAGTGAAACTGTGCACACAGTCTGGCCAAAGCAGGTATGTAGGAGGAGGGAGGTGAATTGAAGGAGTTCAAGAGAGCAAGGGTGCATCAACCTAATGCTGAGCCCTTAAAGTGGGCTTAAAGCTCAGCTCAGCCCACACTCAGCCCACTCATCAGGCTTTGGATGAAGACAGTGGGAAGGTTTGAAGTGGTGGTAGCTGGAAATGAGGGTGGTGCATTCCTCCTCCCCAGCCCATTTATGCACAGCTGGGTAATATGTCTGTTGTCTGCCTGCAACCAGCTTGTTGAGTCTTCTCTTTCTGGTTGGGGGCCTTTGTTTCCTGTTGCATATAAAATTTCTTCACTTCTCCATCCTAAAATATTGTAGTTTATCTTTTGCGGTTCTGTGTTTCACATCTTCCTGTGTGCTTACACTTGCTTCCTGCCTCTTCTGTTTTCTGTTTCTCCCATTAGCTCTGTAAACCCAACTCCCCAAGCAAGTATTTCTACCTTACAAGCTGCTTACAGCAGCTAGATGCCTTTTCTAGACAAACCAATCCCAGACAAAACTGTCCCAGCCCTTGCACTTATGCAGCTGCTCATTTGACCCTAATCCATTTTAAAAGAAGAGCACTGGTGGGTGAGGATGGAGTCAGAGGAGGGAGGTCCTTGCTTGCTGACACATCTACAAAGCTGAGAGACCCACGGTGTGATCTACACACTTTCCCATGGGAGAAGCAGCATTTCAACTCTTCCCTGATCAGCTCAAACTGATTATTTCTGGTCTTTAGAGCTTTTATGATCATTTTATTAGGTAAGGGGGTGAGTTAATCTCTCTTTTAATCAATCTGTAATTTAGATAACTTCATTATGTACCCATCTTCTGCCTGCACTTCCTCATTCATTCTCTTTGTGTTTTGCAGACTTCCTGGCTGTGCTTCAGTGGCAGGTGACTGAATTTAGTCTTCTCTGCATCAGGGTGATAGCAGTAATGCAAAGTTTAATGAGCACCTGCAAAGCTGTGTAGCAGGTAAGTGCTCCAGGGGTCATTCTTCCTTCCAGATTTGATGTGATTTAAAAAAGCTTCTTGATGGGCTCTCACTAGGAGATCGTGAGCCTTGCAGCAGAAATGCTGAAAGGAAATTGGTGTGGCTCATATTTTAGAAATGTTCCCAGCAGTGAGATTCAGACAGCTTCTTGCAAAGCAAAAGTACCAATGTTGTGAAGGTTTAATTCGGAAATGGCTTTAGTATGGAAGATCAGTGTTAAAAGCCTCTCTTTTGGACTTTCAGTATAAAGTTGTTCTTATCTGACTGCTTGGTAAAGTTGGGATGCAGTCAGAGAGTGATGGCAGGAGGGAACCAAAGGGTCCAAAGCTTTGCTGACATCAGCTACTGATGCATTTTCTGCTGCCACGGAGAACTTGTCAGAAGTACCTTACCCAGACTGGGGAAGTACTGGAATTCCCTTCTTTCTGTGTGTTAGAGGGAGAGCAGATGCCTGGAAGTGCCTGGACAACTTTGAGATGATCAAGGGTGACAGCAGAGGCAGATAAAGAGAAATAGTGCTTTCACAAGCCAGCGATGTGTAGAGTTTTCATCCTTGTATGAAAACCCCTAAAAACACACTGGAAGGAGAACTGGGTGAAACCAAGATGTCTGGCAGTGCTGCTCTGTGAGTGTGTGACAAGAGGCTCTATGGGTAGCAGTGGTGGGAGGGCAAGAATTGGAGCTGATGACAGAGGGAGCAGCCAGAGCAGCAGTCCTGGCTGCCACAATGTCCTGCTACAGCTCTGAGTACCTGTTAGCTCATGAACACCACGTGATTTTTTTATTTTTTTTTTTAGTTATTTATTCTGGATCTGTGTTGGGTGGTGTCTCTCCCCTTTTTCCCATCACAGAGTTCAAACATCTGCTCTGCTCTAGCCAAGCTCAGCTCAGAGAGTTCCCTGGCATGCTCCTCCAGCCAGCCTTGATCAAAGCTGTGAGAGTTGGCCCACTGCCATTCTCCTGTGTGTAAATGAAGCTCTTTCTCTTTTTCCTTTCCATTCACCTTCTTTCATTATTATCCCTCCTCCAGAGGCAGGTTTTTCTGGCTGATCTAGCACATTATTTGCCTCAAGGCAGAGATGCTTTTTCAGCAGTTATACTGAAAACATCTGATGCATCCCGCTGCCATGTATGTGGCTCAGAAAAACCAAGCATGGTGTTGGCAAGGATGAGGACCATTACAGCCAGCTGTTGCAGAATTTAAGCCCAGTTAGGCACAGTCTCCAACTCATAGGATTATTCTGGTTGCCTGGCAAAGGAAAACTGTTACTGTTCCTTCACTTTTGAAACCAGGGGAAGAGCACGTAGAGAAGGTTCTTGTGCCTGAGCAGGAAAAGGGACATGAGTTATAAGGTGTCAGCTGACCCACCTGTGTAAGCAATTCATCTTTCCCTGGGTTGCCTCTGGGGATGGTGGGTGCCTTCGGTTGAAAAGGTAGAGTTTGTGATAAAACACAGAAAAAACAATGTAAATGGGCTTGAGAGTGCCTGGCTTTCAGCTCTTCCAAACTGCAGAGGGTTTGGTGATGAGTGGTGAGCTGAGGAGTGGGAGCAAATGGTTCCCACGCTGTCTGCAAGGAGGAGAAGTAGCTCCCTAAGACAAGATACCACGTCTCTGTGCCAGGATCCCAGCAGGGATCCAAACAGCTTGTTTTGGAGAAAGCACATCCAGTGATAAGGAGACTTTCCTGCAGGTAGGGGCAACTAAGCAGTAGCTTAGACTACCTTGGGAGGCAGAGGTTTGGTGAAAGTTTTTCAGATTAAAGTAAACAGACTTGCCAGAAGTCATCCAGGTACAGTGTAAGTCACGCATGTAGGCAGAGGGAAGAAACTCTATTGCTTTTTCAGACCTCTTTTTCCTCCTATTTTTTAAGCTCTTGTAGAGTGTTAACACATACCAGAGGCAGACCTAAGGAGATGTTCTCCAGCTTAAAATGTCACACTTGATATTCACATTATAATGCTTCTCAGAGCGGCTTGTTCTTCTGCATCTGCACCCATAATGCTTCGATCCTAATCTGTTTCCTCCTGGATGTTCAGGTGCCTTACTGCTACTGGTTTCAGAGGAGAATTTGATTTCTAAAGGCCTCTGGGGATTTAGCAGCCAAATACCTTAGGACTATGGGAAATGTGAGGAAAAATACTTGAAGTTCAGCAGCACAGACACTTCAGCACTGCAGATTGCCACTTATTCATGGTAATTAAAAATTACCCTTATCTTCCAGTCTTGTAGGGGCAAGAATGGAAGGGATGTCTGTTTTGGTAGCTGTAATCCACCAGTTGACCCTCCCTTCCTGTAACACACAATGACACAAATTATCTGTCACAGTTGGTGACTTAAGGACAGAGCTCTAGTGTGGTCCCAGCTAGTGAGCTGGCTATGTTCAGTCTAAGAATCATGGCCATGCTCTTCTGCAGCCAAAATCAAAAGGTGGTCTGGAGGTGCTTGGATGATGTTTATCCCACCTTCCTGTTGACTCATAGCTGCATCGTGCTCTTGGAATAGGTGTAGGGTTATGGTCTCACTCTGACAGAATTACAGGAAGAAATGTCAGCTGAAAGGGATGTGTTTGTGTGCTAAGTCATCCACAACACATGTTCTCAGCTCTCAGCTTGTATTTGCTGCTTGTCCTGGACGCCTTGGGTCTCCCATGTGAAGCTGGAGGCTTTGCTCCTTGCTGAGCTCCTTGTCTGCTGCAGGAGAGGGGTTTTGTGTCTGTCAGCAGGGGCCCCACAGCTATGACTCACAGTTCCCATGACGTTGTAATTTAGCCTTTAAGTGAGCCAAGAGGCTGTTCCTTGGCTCTCAAACAAAGCCTGCCTTTGTTGTGCTTATGGTATAAAGAAAGCAACCGTATGTGTTCACCCCACACATCCCAAATGAAAACCACGTGGCTTCACAACCTTAATGTATGTGTGTTTGATACTTCTGCTGCAGCACTGCAAGTGACATCGCTCCTTTCCCCTTGAGTATTTTTAGAGTGTTTCTTCCCAGCATTCATTTTACAAATTCTTCAGCAAAACAGAGAGCTTAGAGATGTTTCCTTTTCTTGATTAGAAGAGGGGGCTGAACAGGGAGCACATGAAAATTATTAAATGTGGTTGTGTGTGGCCATAGGCTGTTTCTGAGTCATTCCCTTGGGCTCTGGGTTGGTGGCCATGGGTGCTGAAAGGATGAGCTTCATGGAAATATTGTACAGAAGTGGGGCAGTTTGTTTTCTTGTATGACTTTGCTTTTTTCTGCTGTTTTTTATTTATTCAAACTCATTTTGAAGAGCAGGATTAGCCAGAAGTACTCTGCAGCCAACATATTTGTGTGCATGCGTCCGCCTTGGCAGTTGTTAGGTTTATGGCAAGTGAGCCAAGACTGGGATTCCTGCTTCCCAAAGCATTTGTGTCGTTTCTTCTGATCTTTTCTAGACTCACTAGGTAATGAAGTAAGAGGGTTTGATTCTTCCTCAGAGGCTGTGTGCAATGTACAGTGTCTCTGCTTAGATCAGGGAGTCATCCTGGTGAGGGGCAAGGAAATGGGGCAATGCAGTAAAAGTGCTCTTACTCTCTCTTCTTCCACACCCTCTACCCATCCCTGCAGGAGACTTCACAGTCAGCTGGGTTGTGTTTTGTTTTTTACTTCATTTAAAGAACTAAAAAAGCTGGGATTTCAGGCAATGGAATAAAACATTGCTTTTGATTTCTGTGGTGAGCATTTTGGTAACAATAGCCAGCTTTTAAATACAGTTATTTCCCTATTGTTTGAATACAAACAGCAGTGACTAGTTAGCAAAACAATGGTCCAATATCACAGAAACCTTCAATCCCATCCAGTGGTTTTGGGTCCTGTTTACTTGGATAAGTACTTGCAGATACTTGGGCCTGCAGGTTTCCTGACCTATGAGTGTGGCTTTGTCACTGAGTCAAGACTGTGATGGAATAGAACATCTCAGATCAGCCAAATTCCCAACCTGCAATGATTATTTCTTTTTGCTGTGTTTTTGTTCAGCATCTCAGTGTGGAAGTGTCTGGCAACTACTGTGCTTTCTACTGTCTGTAATACGTAAGTGCTCATTGTTCATGACTAAGACGGGTCTTCATAGTTTCACAAGTAAAACCTAATCACTCTGCAAGTCATGTCTGAGCCCTGCATGTGCTCTTCTTACATGTGCTGGAGTGCTGTATTCCTGCTGGAAAATCAACTTTCTAATAATGTTTCCACCAATTATTTTAATACCAAAGCATTTGTTGCAATGGGTGTACAATTAAGTTGAATGAACAAGGATGCATATGCTTACCACAGGATGAGGAGAGCCAGAGTAACCACTACCTGATTTAACAACATTGGTGTGGGGTTTTTCTACCTTGCTGAGAGTTAAGTGGGGAAAAGCAGAGCAGATTTAAACAAACATCTTGGCAATTTCTCTCTTTCTGTACTCACCACCTCTCCCTGAGGTGACTGCCAGGCCAGATCCATGAGCCATGGCTGCCTCATGTGCAAAGGGCTGTTGTGTGTCTGAGGGGGTGACAGCCAGGGCAGGGCCCAGCATGAGCACCAGGTGGAGGCCAGAGAGGATCTATGCAGTGACAGTGCTCCATCCATTGTGGTTGACACTATCAGGTTTTTGGGGGAGCAGCAGAGAATATTGCTGATCTGTGCTGATGAAAGATTGTGCAAGGGAATCACCAGCTGTTGCCCAGGCTCCCATCATGTTGGGTTGGAGGAGGAGGGTGCTGGTAAGGGTGGTAAGCAAAGGATTTTTCCCTTTGCCTGTGTCTTTTCTCCTCTTAAAAAACCAAAAAAGACCCACAAAAATTTTGGTCTACCCCAGCTGTTTTCCTCATGATCAACAGACAAAACCAAATAAAGTGTATAATGTATTTGGCTTAGAAAGGCAAGCTGGTCCCTGGCTGTGGTCCTACTACAACAGCTCAATACATGGGGGGGAGTCACAGACGCACTTCCTACCTTTGCCCTCCTGCCTCTCCTG